TGGTCATGTTAAGCATAATTAAGAAGCTGGTATAACTAGCACAAGGATGCTCATTTACCTGGCTCTACCTTGTGCTTTGAAGAGATATGTTACAGTCTTAATTACAATGGCTCATTTTCCCCAGGGCACTCTGCTTTTGACAAGAGTCTGAGACAACTGAATTTTTCTGCAACTTGAAATGCAATAAATTCACCAAACTATCTCTTGAAACTTAATAGAGCTGAAATGGCTGTCCTGCTACCCTTCACCAGGGGATGTGCTGTGTATAGGGAAACAGCTGACTGGACAGCAGATATTCCCAACAGCACACATGGGTGAACCTGTTCTTGTACTACCTCACCCAAATGCGAAGTGGAAACATTCCCAAGCATATCATATAATCTGAATTAGGTCTTCAGTGCAATGACGCACAAAAAGTCCTTGCCCATGATAAAAAGGTGCACAGTTGGTAAATTTTAAAGGTTGGAGCATTTAAATATTGTTGTGAGATCTCAGGAGAGCATATACCTTAAAATCCTTCCAAAAGTGCCAGTAGTAACCATATGGAATACCCTAAAGAGTTTTCTAAGTTTGGATTGCCTATGCATTAAATCACAGAGGGCAAGAATTTTGTCCTTAGTTCTCTTATTGAAAAAAGCTAAATTATAGTATTTCTTCTGATGTCAGAAGAAGGCTATGGGAAGTTCAGCGAGAATTCTGTACAGATGGAGATATTATTGAAAGGAACAAGCAGAGCTGAAAATTTCAATATCCACATTTCTCCCATAAACAAGGAAGGGTGGTCTCAACTTGATGCTCTGAATTTCTCTGGAAGCAGGATCAGGTTTGGTACTGGTGTCTGCACTGTCCAAAAGTGTGTGCTCACAATCAGAGTAATAGTCCTATGGTACACCAAACTGAACAATTCTTTTCCTTAAAAAAATCAATTTTCCTGTAAAAATCCTGAGGGTATTTTGGATTGGGAGCACAGTCAAACAGTCCATGACGTAATACTATTGTCCACACTCATGTTGTGGTAAGATTTCTTAATGATCCTTGCTATATATTGAGAGCAGATTTCACAAAAAAAAATAATAGTTTTCTATCTTTATTTTATTCTCATACAATTATTTTTTAAATAACAAGATATATAACTAATGAAACAAACTCTTCTGCCCCAAACTCCCGCAAACAAAACAGCACCCACAAAAAAACCCCACAAAAAGAAAAACAAACCCTGGAAAACCAAGTACARCATTCMGTTTCCATGCACTGGGATCATTTGCAAACGGAAGAGTAATCTCTTATCAGCTGCTCTTGCATCTTCCTCAAACACATGTGAGTATGCTATGGAACACATGGCAAATTACTAAGTCTCTTTATGATTCAGATACAGAGGTATCACGATAATAACAAAACTTTCTATCCCTGAAATAATATACTGTAAAACTGACAGAGGAGGCTTAACTATGTCTGGATAAAAAAAAAAAAAGTAATATACCAGGCTTAAAATACTATATTTTATACTACTTAGGAGGCAGCTAAGGAGGGTTTATAAAGAATGATGGATGTAATTTTCTTTTGTGGAAAAAAAAATAGTTATAAGCAAAAGAACTGAATTTAATCTAATATCACTAAAGCCTGCCATAATCTTATGGAGCATTTGGACAGTACCTAGGGCCAAAGAGATGATCCTGAATTAGCATGGTATACAAATCAGCTTTTTGATTTTTATCAGATTATCTGCATTACTGGCTAATGCTGATGCATTCTGCAACATGCAGTAAACACTTCTAAGCATCATATTTCCAAAGTGTAAAATATCTTCAAAACAGATCTTAATTGTTTTAGCAAGATAAAGTATGCTACTTTTACATGAATAATATTATCAGAATCCCATTAAATCTCTTCATTTATTATCTCTAATGCTACTTAAAAGAGAAGTTAATAGAGTAATTCATTCTCATACCATGACCTTGGTCACTAGTACATGATGTTTCATATTCATTATGCTGAGCTAAGTGTGGGCTCTGTTATAATATCACTTAATTTATATTCTGAATAATGCTCTGGGGACAAGTTGCTCTTGTGCATTATGGTTCTATCTAAATCACAATATTTGAAGACAAGTGGAGAGAGCAGATAACTATTAAACAACATGTTTGCTAACATAGACCACTATTCCAGACTCTAAGCATGAAACCTTGGGAATTAAAAGTTAAACATCAAAATATTTTCCATAGTAATGTCAAGATTGTCTTCAAATATATAAAAAAAATATGCATGATCAGTCAGTATTTTTGTATACTCATAGATTTTTCTAAAGAGAACTATTTATCATGCTGTAGTGGTGAAACAGATTAAACTTCTCTCCCTGCAACATATTTTTCCCCTTCATAATTTTAAGGACTAACAAATAATTGATGCTTTTTTTTTTTTTTCAGGTTCTCTTCAGATCAAAGTCTAATACAGTTATCCACTCAATGAAAAAACATTACTTGTTTTCTAATGTCCAGCTGCAAAAATATAGTTTCTTTGCCTTCTACTTTCAAGATCAGTATAAATTGATGAACTAAAGGCTCAAGAACAAAATATTTTTTTAATTCTAGTATGCAAAAGACCCCAGCTTAGGAAAGAATCAGCAGGTTTTGCATGAAAACTTTAATACATGGAATCTTTAATATCATTAAATACCCAGGCTTCTGAGCATTTACTGAAATAAAATCATCATAAGGCTACACATTTATTGTCACACAACCACTTCCAGAACTCAATCTGTCTCTCCATTTAACAAAATTAAAATCCCTGCTACAAGTCTAGAAGCTCAGCTTGGAACATGAAAGCTAAACTGGCATGTTATCTTTTTCATTTGTATTCCAATGTCAATAGAGAACTCGCAAACCACACTACTTATAAGCCCTATCTATTTTCTTCAATGGATCAGTATGGAAATGCAGGAATTGATCCACTCAAACTAAAGCTAAGCAAATAAATTCAATATTATTTTAAAGCAAAGAGACTCCAGCTCTATTCCCTCAGATGATTTTACATAAAATGATACTAAAAAATCTTTCCACCAGCATGGGATGTAGATTAGTTTCCCACTAAACACAGACCAAATCTGAGAAAATAAAAGTTGTAACTTTGTTAAGCTGTTTTCCAAATGAGAACTGTACTTCTAACATCTCTACCAGCCTTTCTGGAACCATAACTGCATCTCCATCTTTTACCCACAGAAAGGTAAACACAGCTTTGGTGTACAAAATTAAAAATGCAGAAGTTTTTAATTTAAGACCAGTAATAGGAAATTATGTCTTCCCTCCTTCACCTCATTGTAAAACAAAACAGCCCAGAAATTTCCACCACTACTTAAAAACCTATAAATTGAATTCTTGCCAAATGTTTTGGTGGATTAAAAAGTCACAACACATAATGTCAGTGCAGATCTGGGCCTCAATAACCATATTTGGGAGTGAAGAGTAATTTGTGATGGTTTAAGATCTCTCTGGATCAGGTATCGTACCAGTTCTTGTAAATGACCCCACAGATGATGCTCTTCAGCACCAGCATGGCAATATGTCAAATCCTTCAATCCACAGTTCCACAGACACCTTAAGGCTCTGTAATCTACCAGCGAAGGCAGGTCTGTGCAGGCATACCAAAGCATGAACATAGCTGTAGCTAAGGCATGGGTCTCTTCCATCTCCCATAAGTACTCCAGAGACAGAAATATCTAGGCAGACCCAAAATCTAGACTTCTAAGCCATAGTTTCATTTCCCAGAGATCACTGAAGAGTTGTACTGCTATGACATGCTGAGACAGTCAGCTCAGCCAGCAGAACAGAGAATCCCACACTTCTGACTATTACTGTGCACATACATCAGCCTGAGTGGTATCTCGTATCTTAATTTACCACACCGTGGTGCTTGTATGAATGACACTAGAAACTGCACTGGAAGTATAATGAATGATTTTGGCAGCTCTGAAGTAAAAGGTAACAGAATATGTAGGATCTGGATGTCTCTGACTGATACATTATGATATATTACAATGCTGCTGACATGTCAAAAGACATGATTTAGTAGTCACTGGTTATTTCAATTTACTCTTTTTACGTTTTTAATTAGTAAATGAGTCCCTCATGGTCGAATGATTAATTACACAATAATTCACTGCAGTGCCTTCCTCTCCTGTTTGAGTGGAGCACACAGTATATAGAGAAACTGTTTGGGATATAGACTGACACAATAAATTATAGCAATGTGTTCACACTGCTTTAGTTAAGGTTGTGTCAGCATTCCCATTAAGAACTCCTGTTTTCAGGTTAGTTAAATTTAGGCAGAGAAGGTTCATTCTAGTTTGCACACTGGCATACAGAAACTCAACCAGGGGATAAATGTGTGTACATAAGGAGAAGGTGAAAGAAAGTAAAGGAAGCAGGCACTGTAGAGGTTGTTAAGATGTGGGAGGGAGGGGGCAGGAAGTAAAGAAACAAAAAGCAGCTGCCCTTTGTTCTACATGATTGTAACTAATAAAAATGCATCTCCATTTTTATATCTTCCCACAAATAGGTCCCAAAAGATCATTGCAAATTTCATCATTACAACTGATAGATGTATGAAAGAGCTTTTGCAACACTACCCAAAGCCTGGGAATGAGGACCAGAGTCCAGTTTACCTTTCAAGCCTGGACTCTGTCCCATCTGAGATGCAGCACAAATACCCAATTTTCCTCAAGGCAGATACAAGACTTAATTTGAAAAGCTTCCAACATGGTGTATGGATAGGTATATAAGGGATATGCATATGTGTATATGTATATGGATAGTCTTCCAGTGACTAATGATGGGGTTTACACTTAGGGTTATGAGCATGGCAAGCAGAAAGCAGCAAAAACACCACATCAAGCCAGCCTGAACTGTAAGAGGTACCTCAGGACTGGAAACTGCAGAGTTGTGCTTATGTGATTCCAACAGTGAGTACTCTTTTACTTGCAAGTGTTTAAAATTGATCCATTGACACCCAGCTTAGCTCAGTTGGTCAGAGCATGGTGCTAATATCACCAAGGTCATGGGTTCAACCTCTGTATGGGCCATTCAGTTAAGAGCTGGACTTGATGATCCTTATGGGTACCATCCATTACAGACTATTCAGTGATTTTGTTTTCAGTTGACAAAGATCAGCACATCCAGTGTACACTGAGAATGTGACAGCTTCTGAAAAATCTCTCATTTGAAAAAAGTTTGTTGGATGGATGCTCACAAACTATGTGAGCACTTGGCTCATACTGTAAGGCAAAATAATCCAGTCTATCAGAAGAGGTTTAATTTGGTGGGAAAAATATTCTGCTTTTATACCAAGAAATTGAGGAAGTTCTAAACTTAGATTCTCCATAGAGTCAAAGTAGCAATAGCAAGAATTCAGGGTTCATAACCTTCTTATGTCTGCATGTTTAAGGACTATTAATAGACCTAATAGTCACTCAGTTTTGTGCAAATGTAAGACAATGCTAAAGAAAATGCATGTTCACATTCTTGCCAAATGATAACAATTGATCAGAATTACAGGGCTGGACAGTTTAGATTAGACAAATTCGATTTATTGAATAGGATGGTTCTAGTTGTAGTATAATGGATGACACAAATAACTGAAAGATTACACCATTCATTGGAGAAAATTATTTTGATATCAACCTCAGATTCTCTTCCATATTAAATTGGTGAGAGACAGCTTCTTACATCATTGTTCATATGAAAAAAAAAAAAGGACAAGGAAGAAAAAGCTTCCTAGAGTTCTCAAGTATCCTGCATTAGTATTCCCATGACAGAACACATTCATTCGGCAACACATCTTTAGAATTTATGAAGATGTCATCTTTGGAAGAAAAGAAAACTGAGAAATCTAGAAGAGTACAGTAATTTCATGATTATAAGCCACACCATTTTGACTAAAATTTTGGTCTGAACCCAAAGTGTGGCTTATGATCAGCTGTGGCTTATATATGGACAAAGAAAGAAAAGTTACTGTTTTAGTTGGGAGGACAGGTGTCTGCTAAGAAAGGCAGGAGCCTCTCTTTGAAATGAAGAATGTAAACCCCCTCCCTCCAAATTATTATAATTTTGA